TTTTTTTCTAAAAATTTTACTTTCCCCAGGAAAGTAAATATCTAATTTATAATAGGTAGTATTTATGAAGCGGGAAAAGGATCCGTTTGCAAGAAAAGAACCAAGCTCAGAGAACCCCAAGGGCTCCACAGTTCAACCCTGAGCTGCACATATTCACCTCTATTGATAGCTGAAATTATACTATCCATGGTACTCCTGCAATAAGAATAACTGCCTCCTATTTAAAATGATTTATGCTGAACTGGTCTTCATCTTTAACATCAGTTGAAACAAATAATCACATCTACATTTTGTTCTCCAAGTATATCTTTGGGGAATTTTGGGTAAGTAGGTATGACAACAGCTAGAAAGATTATGGCTAATATTTTATAAGTGCTCAAACAACTACAGTAACAACGACAACAACAACAACAAAACCTGTAGCTGGCTTAATATAAGGTTGTATTGTAATGCATTTCTCCTATTATTCAACCCTTACCCCTACTGGAAAAGAAAATCGAACTTTAAATGCTAAAGTTCAAGTTTTCAAAAGCCATCACTCAATTCTTCCTGCTCTAGATAATGACACAATGCAAGAACGGGTAAGGGTTCTAATTATCCAGAGATTCTCTGGTTTATATATTTACTTAAAACATGCTTTACTACCATTTTCTTGACTCCAATTGAGTCTTTAATCATGTAAACAATGCAGAGGAAAACTTTCGGCGTTGTTATTTCAGAGGAGTTGCTATGTAAACAAGAACTGATGTAGAAATGGTCTAATCGCTTGCTTTTGGATAATTACAGTGGGTTCATCTACACTTTCTCATTTTTACAGTAAACCCACCGACAATAATGGGACTTAAAGTAGTAGTTTACATACAACTGTTGAATCCAATAAAATGATGACCAAACGCTTATAAATTTTATCCAGCTATATCAAGGAAAGTTACTTGAGGCTATAAATTAATAAAGTTCATAATATCCACATAAGAGATGCACTTAGTTAATATGACATCGTTGTCATTGAAGCCTAAACAGATTTTGCAACTTTTCTAAATAAGAAAGCCACTCCATTACAAGATGCTGTAACCTAGCCAACTATTTGTATCACAAGACAGATTTTCCACTGATTCCTAAAAGCAAAAGTTGCTCACAACTGATTCTAAGCCTTATCTGTTCCATGAACATTGGGAAAATAATTCTTGGTGTTGGCAACATTTGCCAAGAATGTCTCTCCGAATGTGTTGGACCACTATTCCCATCATGTCCAAACCATTGGTGTAATGCTGGATTGGAGGGAAGCTGTAGCCTCATATCTCTGGAAAGCATTTGGAGAAAGCTGGAACAGGATATCTATGCACACTGCTCCTTAAAGCTCTATATGCAGAAAGGTATGGGTTGAATTGGTACTTTATAGGAAGAGACCAAGAGTAGCCAGACAGGGGTAGCTAGTTCCGTCAAATATCTCCCTGCCTTGTAGGCATTTACCCTGCAACTCTTGTGGTTTAGCAAGATAAGACAGGCCCCTGCTCTCTCAGGTCCTAGATGTGAAAAACCTAACAGCATCATGAAACTCTTCCTGATGCAAAGAATCTCTGCTCACTTTTAATCTGCAGCGCAGAGCATGGTTTCACTCTTCTTGATAATCTGGCAATGGCCTGAGATGATTTAATACAAAATAACTCCACTTTCCAAGATTGCCCTGATCTGAATTCCCAATCCACCTCTAATTCCCTATGGAAACAGGTGGTACCTAGAACATTTCAACCTCTACTTTAACAACATTTAAAATGAACATAATTTAAAAAAAGAAGCTCAACTATTATTTAGGACAGTTCCAGTAATAGATTTGCTTTGTCATAAAGCTTCAAAATTCTCTTAATAGAATTGCTTAAGTATGTTTGAAATATAGAGAAGACCTACCTAAGGATAATTGTCTTTATATACTCATAGAAGCCCTATAGTTATCTAGACTAGCAGTAATTATTTCACTGAAAATGAGTACATCTAGACAGAACAGTCGCTTTCTGAAGATGTCATGACATCTAAAATTAATAAATAAGACTGATAGATTTTTCAGTCAAGATGCTGAGATTAATTCCCCCATCATTCACAGGAAATGTATTTCTACCCCTCCTAACTAGGTCTAAGGATTTTGATTAGCAAATCTTCCTGCATTGATGGAAGAGCAGCTTTGCAGTGGGAAGAAGCATGGTTGAGGTGCCTCCTTCTAAGACAGGTGTGGAACCACACCTAAACTTTGAATGGCAACTGAGCACTGCATTTCTAAAAGCAATGGCTAAGCCAAGGACCAGAACTAAATCTGATTTGATTTACATTTACTTAGAATTAAAGACAGTTAAAAAGATTACTTTTCCAGTTGTGCATTTAGTAGCTTCCTTATTAAAAATTACCATTAGTTTAACTTCCATAGGTCCCTGGAAGCCACACTCTGACTTTCAGAGGTCTTTCAGTTGCCACGCAAAACTGGGGAAGTTGGAGTGGATACCTCTCTTCTATGGTGTTATAGGGCAGCTTATCTGGTAAATGAAATTTTGGTCTATCATATGGCATAATACATTATGTGCCAGTAAGTGAATTCCTACCATCTTTTTCTGGTGTTCTAAACTCAAGGTTAATAGAAATTATAGGCTCCCATTGGGAGACCACCAAAACGTCTTGGCCATAATAACAGTCCATTAGTTGAGTGTACCAATTGGCCACTTCCACTAGATTGGGTCTGATCCCGTGGAGATTCTCCATGTAGTAAACCTGGGCCAAAGGAAGTATGTAAACAAACTCCTAAAATAACTTTCTGGGGTTCTAAACTCAAGGCCAAATCTTGGTCCTAGAGGCACTCCATCAGGTCATTTCTATTAGGTGACCTTGATCATACAGTGAATCCCCAATCAGTGCTGCAAAATTCAGAGCATCCAACACTCTTGCTGGCCTGAAAAGTCTCTGAATTGTGAGGTGGTACCCTTTAAGGCTATCCATAATTAGATTGGCTATAGACATCTAGAAGTAATGACACCATGCAAAACTGAAATAAATAGCAATCTGTAGATGAACTGTTTTGCTCTGATGCCACACAATACAGCTCCAAACTGTTTTGCTCTGATGCCACATGATACAGATGTTCTTGCCTTCTATTACCACTGTCTGTAAGGCCACATGTGGCTCAAGGCAAAGTGAGATACAGTTCAAGAACAAAGAACAGAGAGGATTCGGTTTAGGGCCTTCTGCAGAGAAACTCCTCATATCTGTTTTTCAGAATTCTAGAGATGTTGAATGGATGAGTATCACATCTCTTCCAGCTCTCTTCCTCTGTAATGGCATAGGTTATGAGAGAGCGAGAGTGAAGGTATCTGGAGGGGTGATTAAAAAAGATACCCACACACATGCAATCGAAGCCCTCCCTGGCCCCACCTGTCAAAAAGGGCTAGGCTTCAATTGTGAAGGTGCCATTTTGCCTTTTTTCAACCTTCCCTCTGCAGATGCCCATGTGTGTATGTGAAAGAAAGAGATAGCCAGCAGGATTTCCCAGCCCAGTGTCCTCTAAACGTGTCAAACGTTACTTTCCTTCACCCCAGTTGGCTGAGGATTACGGTGTTGCAGTCCAACCCATTGAGAGAACACCCATTTGGGAAAGAATGGCATGAAAGCAAGGTGAAACTCTGGCCTGTCGCACCACTAATTGTTGAAGGAGGAAAGGGCCAAACTCCACCAGAGGTTATGTGGTTGGGGATGACGAAGGTAGAGAAACAGGCACAGTGGAGAGAGGGAGCTGAATTAGGATAGTCTTGTCTGTTGAGAACAAGGTAACATTTCTCTTGTTGGCTAGATACGCAGCCTGAGGATAGGAGTTTTAGCCACCATTGCATAGCTAAAGAAAAATGTAAGGGTAACTGAGATGCCATGGGAAGTGGGGGTAAACAACAACAGCCTGCAAAAATTAGTGTATTTATGCAAGCTTGTTCTGAAATAGATCTCCTGGATTTCGGTGGGACATCCATCTACATAAATGTGCTTAAAGTTGCTGCACACGAAAGACAAATTCCTCTTTCGCTCTACGTGTTCTACCATCGTTACATTTCCATGCAAACCACTCGTCAGACAATTATTCACTTGTTCTTTTAAGCCCTCAGATTCAAAAAAACTGAAGCTCACCAAAAGCCTCTCTTCAGTGGCCCTGGAAGACTCTTGGAAAGCAAGCAAGCTAGTAGATCTTACCGACCATCCCCATAGTCAAGAAAAACGAATATTTGCATCACATCCTTAATTCTTTCCTAGAGGAGGCCTTATAGCTTTAGTGAATTCTAGTTGGCAGCATAGCTAAAACACATTTTGAGTAATGCCTGCCAACCCCCACCCCCCTTAACGTCATCCAACCAGATCCTCCTGACATGACGGGTCTCTCGGGACAAACAACACTAGTTCACTTGGGGTAGAATACTGGAATTGTGTAAACAATCAGCGGAAACCACCATAGTGATTCCATCATGAATATGGCGGGTATAGTCCAGCAAGAGCCACAGCCAGTTGGTCTCCACCCATATTAACATGGCTTGTTTCGCAAGACCCTTAAGGAAGGAATACACATAACACCACAGTCCTATAGATACAAGTTGTATGTCTGTACATACACAGGGAAAGTGTTACATTCTGTTAAAGGAAAGGCATACGATTAGGTTAGGCAATATTGGTGATGAATGAAGGTTCTTGGATTATGTTTCCTCCTCCTTCCCTTTTGGTTGCTGCCACGGGATCTGTGGTGGCAGAAACAGTCTCCATGGGTGTCTTTATTGCACTCGGCGGCAGTAGTAGCCCAGAACTTTACATTTCTCACAGAGATGCTGAGGGTGCTCTTTACTTTGATCAGAAACATCCAGGCCATCAGGTTTTTCCAGGGGTCTCTGCACAGGGGAGGTAAGCACAGGCATTACAGAAATTCAGACATGAACCGTTCCCAAGTTTTGCTCTTACACATTTGAATCCAAAGAGATGCAAAGAGTCTTTTTCAAGAAGCAGGTCAGGAAATGCTTAGAGAACTTTCACAAGAAGGTTGCCCACAGGATAAGGCCTTTAAATGCATCATTGCTATGTTTGTTTGATTGCAGTTCATTAACAGTCCATTAATAAGTCATTTGGAATCCCAGAAGTCAACAGCCCTACAGTATGTGTGTGTGTGTGTGTGTGTGTGTGTGTGTCTTACTTTTTGCAGTAGCAGATGCTTAGCAAAATAGGTATCATGCTATTTCTTTTGCAACATTG